ATATAAATAAATTAAAAAGTCAACAATAAAATTTTCTTCTACATGTTTAGCCATACAAAAATACGTATATATATAGACAGTTCAAAATTTTATGTAATTTTTAACTGTATAATTATAAATCATTATTATGTTAAAATTTTAAATATATTAAAAAAATTGTCAGGCGAAAATAAAAGAACGATATAACTATTAACTAATGTTAATAAGTATAACCAAATAATCATTTTGTCAAATTTTATAATTCGATTATTCTTATACATTATAATAGTATTTATCAATTAAGAATTTTATATAATCTAAGACATTCTTTATTCATGTCCTGTATTTAGTTAGACCCAGAAATTTTTCTACATTTTATAACCAAAACTAAATTTACTAAAGTTTAGCTTTGAAAACGTAATAAACAAACAGACTAGCGTTAGATAAAGAGAACCGCATACTAAAAGACTATCTTGTCGTCCTAAAGTAATATAATTGTAACCAGACGACATGTATACTTAAAGAATATCTAAAAAAAATCAATATTAAAGAATAATTAATTAGATCAATTTTAGATGCCAATACAATATTTTTATAACAAATACATAATAATATAATAAAATTATATGAGAGATATTTAAGAATTGTAATATGAAGAATATATAATATGAAGAATTTTAATAAAACCAATAGATTTTTTTTATACAACTTAGAATAGCAAACAAGTTGACGGTTCACCTGATGAAAAGTGGTATCCGTCGTCATAGACATAAGCAGTACAATGGACATGACTGTTTCTGTACTGTTTCGCTAGTTTGTTTCTGTTTAGATATCAAAACAATGATTTTTAGAAATTTTTTGTATCTCGTTTTTCTTATTTCTCTATTGAAGGGTCTCGCGATTGATCTCAGCTGATGGAAAGCGATGATGTGGTCTAAGACGGGGCTCAAAGTGTCACGGGACGAAGAAAGACGCAAAGATGTTTGTACGAGTATGTATGTTTGTTCTGGTATGATACAAAAAGTACTACTACACTATATATATATATATATATATATATATATATATATATATACTAGCTGACACGGCAAACGTTTTACCATATATGTTATTAAAAAACTATACATGATATCGCACTACAATTATTATATTCGATTGCCATCTTGCAAGCCTATTGCGATATATAAAAATCGCTATTAAAAAAGAGGAGTTGATCGTAAAATGTGAAAAATTGAATTTGTATGTGTTTTTCAATGCTAAATTATATTTAAATAAAAATAAAAAATTTTGACTAAAAAAATTTTTTTTGGAGTGGGTCACCCTTATTTTTGAGGGGTTTAAAAATAGATGTTGGCCGATTCTCAGACCTACCGAATATGCACACAAAATTTCATGAAAATCGGTCGGCCGTTTCGGAGGAGTTTGGTAACAAACACCGTGACACGAGAATTTTATTTATTAGATAAGGATGAAGCAAAAGATATACCTTTTGCTTCATCCATATTCATAACTCCATGTATAGGTAAGCGCTAGTTCCGGAGCTTTATGATTCCTCTCTCCGACAACACGCGGTTTACCTAATCATGATAAGTTCAGAGTGACGCAGCAATACGTGAGGTATTATGTTGGCTTGAATTTACTGGGTACAGAGGAATAACACCTGAGTCCTCAGGAATGGCAACGCATGGGGGGGTATCATGGGTGAAACAGTATACTCTGTTATGTTTACGGTACTGCTCATGTCTATAGGCGACGGTTACCACTTACCATCAGGTGGGCCGTCAGCTTGTTTGCCATTCTAAGTTGTATAAAAAAAAATGTTACATCCCAGTAAATCCTACTAATATAATAAAATTGTAACTAACTAATAAAATGTAAATTAGTAAACAGTGTTTGTACATGGAATATATTTAAGAAAATTAATATCTGAACGATCTTAATAAGATCAATAAATGCCAAAACAATATTTTTTAGAAATTTTGTCTGTCTGTATGTTTGCTCCAGTATCAGGCAGAATTAAATGAGGCTTTCATAGTTGTATTCCTGAAGGCGTAACTTAAAAACTGGTGTGTTTCCTCTCGATACGCCATCTATAGGTGGTTTATTTTTCCTGCTTCTGAAATCCACGCTTACGAAGAAAAAAGCTAGTATATATTAAGTACTTAATATTTATCAATACAAATCATTAGTATGAGCTTTTTTAATGTATTTCTTGCGCTAAATAGCTATGACATTCTTTCTATAATCCTTCTTCTATCAAAAGGTTGTCTTAAAGAGACTGATTTAGCAATAAGACCGCCTTTTGCACTTTATAAATGTAATAATACTATAGATAAAGTTTTTTTTTATATTATATAGTACTTTAGTAGTTAGTAGAGGGATGGGAAGCAGCGTCTCTCTTAAAACATCTCTAAAATCCTAACTGCGGTTGCCAACTAGCCTGCCAAGCGTGGCAACTACTGGCAAAACTTCCCTTATGAGGAAAGCTTATGTTGAGCAGTGGACAGTTAAGAGCTGAAATAATAATAGCACTTTAACTGGTGCAATGAAAAGGAAATTTATGTTACCTGGGAGTCAAAAGCAGACGTGCATGAGGGGTGTTACAAGGTAAATAACACAGGGGGAAATCAAATACTTTAGATAGCATCTTTTTAAAGGAGTTTTCTACCAATGAAATGTAAATCGTGAAACGATAAAGAAAAATTTAACAAAAAAATGTCACCACAAAATTATTCGATGTATCCGATCCTTTGTCGTCGCGTTCACAAATAGATCTATTGCTTGGAGTCATTAATAACGTATCATTAGTTAGTTGGTAATAATGCCCAATATGTGACCAAGAACGATTCCGACATGTATCCATTACACAAATAAGAGTGATTTAGCTATAAGATAGTTTTGTTTGAGAAATCAGTTCAGGGTACAATAGGACTGATATACCTGAAGAAGGTAAAAGCCCTTAAAATAATATTAAAAAAAACAAGATCGGCTCCTATATTGCCGTGTAAGTCTTGGTACAGAATGGGCCACCCCTTTCTTTCCCGTGAGTGTCGTATACGACGACTTAGAGAACTTAATGGTCGAGATGTGAACCGCAGCATCATTTTTAAAACATTACCACAGCCTAACTGCGGTTTTTTTTAATGGGTGATAATGGTATGGTAACCCCGTCTGCGCTATCGGTATACACTGGCGGGGCACCAGTGATAGATAACTGATGAGGATGAAAGCAGGTTAGTTAGCCTCTCCTGACAAATTCAAATAGAATTGGCTATGATGGTTTCCAGGAGGAACCACGTGGAAGTCGACCTGACAGGGTATATTACTAGTAACGTGGCTTTTTGACCCCATTACTAACAATCCCTTCTAATTGCGGTTGTCAACCCGCCTGTCAAGCGTGGCAACTATTGACAAACCCCTCTTATGTGGGAGGCATATGTTCAGCAGTGGACAGTTAAGGGTTGATGGGATTGGGAATTGGCTCCTAGAAAATACGAATAGTCCCAATGTATGGTGGAGTAAGCAACTACGTCGGTGCTACGCTCGCGAGTGCTACGGCGTAGCTCAGCGTAACTATCTATTTTATATTATAATAAAACAAAACATTAAAAAATAAAGATAGCTTTATTAATTATATTTGTTTAATTGTATTTCCTTTGTGTGGTCCTAGCATAAAATGGGCTACCATTTCTATTCCCATGTTGTAAGAGATGACAAAGGGAACGTAATGATCGAGAGATGGATAGCAGGGTCCCTCTTAAAACATTGCTCCAACCTAACTAAGTTGCCAATCCATCTGCTAAGCGTGGCAACTATTAGCAAAATCCGCCAATAGCGTGAGGTCTATGTCCAGCAGTGGACAGTTAACGGCCGACATGATGATGATGATGATGTAATTTTTCTTAGTACTGCTTTATTAAATGAATTAATTTTTAAATTAATTATTAAATATTATTTATTACTGATGTTATTTACCTGTACAGTTAATAAAAATGGACTCAAATATTTGAATTTAAACTTTGAACAGTAGTAATAAGAATGAGCAATTTTGATCCCGGTCAATCAATTTAGTTTGGCCACGCGGACAAAGCCGCGGGTAAAAAATAGTGTATAATAATTCGTCATTAATATACACGTTAATATATTGTATACTATGTATAATGTGGCGTAAATTGTTATTCAGGGTGCTTAACAAAGTGGGGACGCAGTTTCCGTCGCATAATTAAGTTACCGCGTGTTACGGCACCGACTCGGCTCTAGTCTTTCGTAGATGCTAAAAACAAATTATTAAATATTATATATACATACATATAATATCTAATAATTTGTTTTATATATAATATAAAATTTACATCTATATATATATACATCTTGTGACTGAGCTGTCTTTCTTCTGATATTATATATATATATACTGTTTCCGTTATTCCTGTCTACGGTTGACTGGTAGATTACGACAAATGGTGTCAAGTCCGTCATTTACACTATTAATAAATATATTACAATATTATATATTTAAATAATATTACAATAAAATATAGGTATATAAATAAAGGAATAATGATTAATGAATATATTTTATTACATTATAAACCATAGAGAATAATAAATATGAGAGAAACGATATTTATATATTATATTTCTTTATTTACATATAATTAAATAGTTCAAAATTTTTTTATATAAATAAACATAAAATTATGGTTTATTCATAAACTTGTTAAATAATAATAATTAAATTACATTTAAATTTAAAAAAGAAACTTAAAATAATTAAAAAGTAATGTAATTTAAATTATCAGTAATATATTTTTAATTATTACGTTAATCAATGCAATGTGCCTAGTTCATTGTCTAGTTAATTACAACGCTTTGTTAACATTACCAATAGGTAATTTCATTATGAAGTAATATAACCAAACAAAGCATACTAACAATACTTAAACCCAATTAACCCTATAAAACGTGACTATATGAACACCTGAATAATTATATGTAAATAAATAAAAAATATATCTTACCTTTGATTTATTTCAGCGCCGTAAAAAAACCCTAACCTAATCCTTTCCACATTACTAACCGACAAAGTTCAATATTACGCACAGTATAAGCAAATTGATTAGGAGAGACAGCGTCCGATCATTACCGAGATATATTTAAAGTGAATTGTGTTGTTAGTGATTAATAATAGAGTGTGGACAATGGTTTTGGTACAATGTTGTATAGAAGTGAGCGACTGGCGACAGGCACGCGGCGCGCGGGGCACTGACCAAGCTTCAGTGGAGTCGGCTGCGCCGCGCCGCCCTTTGCAAAGAATATGCGAATCCTGTAGATATGGCGAGTGTCAGATATGACAATAGGCATCAAACATCTATGAAGGTGAAAAAATTAAGTATTTACTTGCAAATTCCAATATATTTTGTTTATAACAGTAAAAGTTCTACATAATTATTACTCTTAAGTACATTTTCGTTATTATTGAATTTTTATTTCTTAATTGATAATTTTATTTCAGTTTTATACAAACAAAGACTAATTTAGAGTTAGTTATGTAGTAAACAGACATCTTTTATGAACATTCCAGATAATGTAGCTGTTTTTTGCATAATTTGCTTCATTTAAACTAGAGATATTATTATTCAATATCCAATACCTATAAAAAAAATTTAGTAATATTTTAAATAATCTATGTTTGTTATTAAAATACTATACTACACAATATACATATTTGTCACGTCTGCCTCTCATTAGGGTAGGCAGAAACAATAGAATGTCAAATGTTACGATACAAACCAACAATACTACAATAATAGAATAAAAAAAGAAACTTAAATAAAAATTCAGATAAGATACTAAAAAAAGAAATTCAATAGAAATGATGTCGATTAATTCTATAATTTACGTATTTATTTTTATATTTATTAATAACAAGATAATTCCTTCGTATATCTATCACATTTTCTAAGTAAGAAATGGTTCTTCTACATGTGAACATAATCTTTGCCATTGAGCCGACAGGGCGGGCGGGTATTCGATACGTAGCGGGCCCGGAAGCTACCGCTCGCCCTTTACGGACCTTTGTTTCAGCATTTCACCGTTTCAGCGTCACAGCATGATAAAACAGAGCGGTCATCTGAACACTCTATGCAATTATAGCCCAAACTTATAATTACTTTTTAAGGCCGGCGACACACTCTCATCCTCGCTTGTATTGTTACGCTCTTATTCATAAAAACATCAAATGTCTCATAAACCTATTTTAGCTATTGAACTATTTTGTCTCTTTCTTTTAAGCTACGTTTCCAATTTGACAAAAAGTGACAATACAATTCAATAGATAAAATAGGTTTGTAGTATGTTTTAGTTTTTATAAATAAGGGGGTAAGTTTTTATGAGTGACAGTAACTACTTCCCATTAGGTGCACTGTCGACTTATTTGCTTTTCTATAAATAAGAAAAAATACAACAATTGTAAACAATGTAATAACTACCAGTTTATCTTGCGTGTAATTAGATCAAAAAAGCTCGACTAGTTTCGGGATCAATTCGTGATCCTTAGTCGTGAGCGATTTTTGTGATGCGAGTGCGAGCCTGACTCTTGTAAAGTAACCAATAAATAAGTTGTAAAAAACAATGGCAAAATATAATATTACTAGGTTTGAAGGATGGGATATGGCCGTCAAGTTCTGAGGTACGGAGGTATATTATTTTAGTCCTCAGGAATGGTAACGCATGGGTGTGATATATATATATATATATATATATATATATATATATATATATATATATATATATATATATATATATATATATATATATATATATATATACATCTACACATTCTAAACGTTCACTGGTAGTGAATGTTTATAGCATTTTGCACCACATTTTATTGGTCAATAAAGTTTAAATAAATAACTAACTCCAATTTCCAACAAAGTTTGATAATTCTATTTGTCATGTACAGGGTTTACACCCAAGTTTAACCCACGTCCATACATTTGGGAATACAAAATTTGTAATTGCGAATTGAGTCATTTTTAATTGTGCAAATATTTATTTTATTTTGGATTTTTAATTTAACTTTTTTATTATACCATAGAGGTAACAAACAAGCATATGGCCCGCCTCATGATAAGCGGTTACCGTAGCCTAAGAACGCTTGCAATACCAGGGGCAATATACGCACATTGCCGACCCTGAAGAAACTTCTTTATTCCTTTTTTGAAGAACCCCATGCTGTAGTCTCTTGGGAAAACCTTGACAGCGCTCATTACATCACCTGAGCGTCCGTGGGAGGAAACATCTTAACATAAGTACTTACTTTTGAACGTTTTATGAATGATATATTTAGCGTACTTATTTCTACACTGTTATTTATTTATTTATTCATTAGTACAAATATGTGTACATGGCGGACTTAATACTAAAAGCATTCTCTCCCAGTCAACCATAGGGAAGTGTCAGAATACTCAAATGCGGTACTACTAATTATTGATATACATACATACTAAAATTACATATATAAACGAGTAAATATATATAAATAACAAATATACTTACACATATATGATATATACACTGTTATTGTTATTATTCTTAAAACTAAATTAGCCGTGTGGTCCCGGCATAGAATAGGCGGTCCCTTCCTATCCCGTGGGTGTTTACCACTACTATTGAGGGAGGACGAGGGATGTGCATCAGCATCCCTATTAAAACAACTCTAAAGCCTGACTGCGGTTGCCAATCCATCTGCTAAACGTGGCAATTACTGGCAAAATCCCCCAAGAGGCTTATGTTCAACAGTGGCTGTTAGTTAATTTAGAGGTAGTTAGAAGCTTTTTTTTTTATACAACTTAGAATGGCAAACAAGCTGACGGCCCACCTGATGGAAAGTGGTAACCGTCGCCTATAGAGATGAGCAGTACCATGGACGTAACAGAGTATACCTTTTCGCCCATGATACCCCTATGCGTTGCCATTCCTGAGGACTCAGATGTTATTCCTCTGTACCCAGTAAATTCACGCCATATCCGACCCTTCAAACCGAAACACAGCCATGCAAACACAACTGCTTCACGGTTGAAACACGAATGGGACAGAGGTACCCAAGCAATCGACTTTTGTACAAAGTCTCCCTCTGATATGATGATATTCTTGAAACGGTATTCATCGCTACTTTCGTAATTTCGTAGAAAGTTTGATTTTCGGTATTTGTATTAGTAATTTATGAGTAATGTATGATTCATACATATACAAGTAGCTGCTTCGTTTCACCTTGTAATGAAAATGAACTAGAATTTTATTAATCGGCCCTTGGTAGTGACGCATTTGCCCTTCAATATATACTAAATTGTATGAGTTTTTTTGTGGGTAAAAATATAAATGACGATATAAAATTTTTTTTTACATAATGTTTCACAAATATCGTTATTACTCATATTTGTAATTAGATTAGATTTATATAAAATCAACGTTTAATATATTGCACTATAAATTTTGCTAAGCTAATATTTATTTATTTATTTATTTATTCATTAGTAGAAATATGTGTATTTTATTGCTGTTTTATGCTATATATTATATTTTATTGTATGCTATTGAATATTTATATTATTATTATTGTAATGAGGGTTGAACGCTGTTGTCTGAGATACATTCATTTCCATCGCAACCATATGGACCAATGGCATCCTTGCACCGTGAGTTTTTCAAGGCACTCTCTTCCACGCACAACCACTAATAAACACCAAAGGTATTGCGGACACCTGCCTTTTAAAAAGGAAAATGCTCTTTTCTTGAAGGTTATGATATCGTATCGGTTCGGAAATATAACATTGATAAGGCTTAAAATATCAATGACGTCGTATACTTATTCTATTCTTATAATTCCATTTATGGCCTTGACAATTTTCGGTTCAGTAATTTAACCATGAAAATTTCACAAAGAGATACCCCTTTGTATTTATTACACCGATAAGAACCTTAATGTTAGAAGGGTAATAAAAAAAGAAATAAAATCCTTTCGCCGTTCTGTAAAAACCTAGCGCTTTCAGAGGTCAGATATGCATGCACAGATAAACAGGCATTCTCTGAATTGCTTCTTATATAATGATAGCGGTAATCAAGTGTTTTTCTGACTGTGTGTGGCTACTATATGCTATTTAAGGAATCTTGCTTGAACCTAAACAGTTGTGTACAGTGCGGTTTCAAAGGAATTTACTACCGCGAATGCTCAGACTGTGGAATGAGCTCCTTGTTGAGGTTTTCCCTAAAGACTATATTATGGGGTTCTAAAAAGGGTATATTAAGCTTTCTTCAGGTTCAGTAATGCGCATGTGACACCCCTAGTGTTGCAGATGTTTATAGTATAGTATAGTATAGCATAGCATAGTATAGATAGTATAGCTGTATGTAGTTTGCCACCTTCAACTTTTGTATAAAAAATATTTTTTTTTTATACAACTTAGAATGGCAAACAAGCTGACAATCTTTAAATTTATTTATTAAAACCTCATGGTAAAATTTCGGGGGGAAGGGATTTTTAGTAATGCGATCTACTAGTCCCATTCCTAGCAATATACGAGGTTTGTCCGGAAAGTACGTATAAAAGTTTTTTAAAAATTTTATTTTACAATTATTCAGGTAAATCAATTTTATCCCCTTCAAAGTACTCCCCCTGTGACATAAACTTGTGCCAACGCCGTTTCCACTGTGAGAAGGCTCCTTGAAAGTCCTCTGGTTGTAGGTTTCTCAGCTGCCCCGTCGTAGCTTTTTTTATCTCATTTATGTCCCCCAAATGCCGCCCCCGAAGTACCAATTTGGTTTTTGGGAACAAGAAGAAGTCACACGGGGCCAAATCCGGCGAATAGGGGGGTGTTCGGTCACCGTAATGGAATTTTTACTCAAAAACTCACGGACAACAAGAGAGGTGTGGGCAGGGGCATTGTCGTGGTGAAGAATCCAACGCCCCTCTCGCGCCAATTCTGGACGAACTCGTGCCACACGACTGTCTGACCGTTAAACGACGGTCCCCATTAACACAAGTTCGAATTCTTTCCACGTTTTCGTCGGAATGTGAAGTGGAAGGACGTCCTGAACGTGGGTCATCTTGAACGCTTTCTCGGCCCTCTCTGAATCTTTTTAGCCACTTGTGGACGGTTGGTTCCTTCACAGCATCATCCCCATAAACTGTTCTGAGATCGGCAAAAATTTCACGGCCATTCTTGCCGAGTTTCGAGAGAAACTTGATTACGACGCGCTGCTCTTCAACGGAAGCGG